TACCAAAAAATAGCACTTTAAATTCTCTATCGAACTATATGTATTCAAAAATTTTTGACGAAAATCTCTTGGTTAGGAAGCGCGGAATACGAGAAACCAGAAAACCTGTATTTTTGCAAAAAACGTGTTTAAATTTTTAAAAATCCTAAAAGCACCGGAATGATTTTCTGAATCGTACATCTTGTAGAGCATTGCTCAAAGTATATATATCACCATTTGAACCAAGATTCTATAACAATGCGTTTGAAAAATAAACGAAAAACAAAAGGCTCTAAACTTTTTTGGAGCACTGTATGTTGGCATTTTCCAAATGATCAATCGTAAGCATTATTTTTCTTTCACTTGGAAAAAAACAAGTATTACGCATCACAAACCAGTTTAGAAAGATACTACAAAATTCTTCGTTCTTCTGATCAAACACAAATGTGACATTTTTTGTCGAATAACTAGGTCACACCTCTTTATATTTACTTTCGCTCTCCATATAAACGCAAAACGAAAAATTGACGCATGCAGACGCATTTAGTCTTCTAACCGTACTTAGTCGCGGCTCAAATATTATTTAATCACGTCAAGTCATATTCGCTCTTAGCGTTTTAGATATATTTAGATGCCGACAAATCTTTATTGACCTAAAAGTCTCGTAAGCGTGTTCAGACACACCTGAAAATATTTTCATCAAACGAATGAATATGTGTTTTTTAACGTAAAACTTACTAGCGCAGTTAAAATCAATTGATTACATGACTCTGATTTACCGAAATTTCATTGAATATTTTGGCGCTTGAGAAGTTTCATGACATACTTAAATGTGATAAAAATTCTACGTATACACTGAATAGAAAACACAATATAGACTCCTATAAAGTTTTTATCTATGATATAAAAAATTATCTATACAGATCTTTTAAAAGACTTTTGATCAAACTGACGAAATTCGCAGGTATAGTGACCGATACAAATACGAATGATCACCATGATTAGCCAAATACTTATGAGGGAGCCACCCTAGGTGTCCCGCTCCGATTCCCTTCGTTCATATACCGTTCGATAGAGGACATCGAGCTGGTAAAGAGCCTAAAAGGACTTAGGCGGAAGGCTCTTCTTTCAAAAGTTATGACCGTTTCACTGAATTTTCGACCCATTCCTAGGTATTTACTGAAAAAATCAAATTATGGAATTTCGACCTGAAATTTTGTCCATAGACAGGTCTAATGGCTCTTAGAATAACCTGAAAGTTTCAGCCAAAAAGAATATTCCTTTCTCAAGATACTGAATTTTCAAGTGAAGTTGCTTTTTGTAACCTATCTGTGGCAAGTGACTATTTTTTGAAAGATGAATATCTCGAGAAAGGAACATTCTTTTTGACTGAAACTTTCAGGATATTCTAAGAGTCATTACCCAGGCAGACAAGATCAATAAAATAACGCGTTTAGATTTCTGAGTAACACCATCTGAACGATTATTTGCCGTTAAAACGGTGTTATTACGAAATCTAAACATGTTATATTTCTCTGCATTCAGTGTTAACCCATTATACCTTGTTTTTAACAGGATTTACCGAGTTTATACGGACTCATCAGTTTACAAACGCTAAGACATAGAATATTGATTCTGAGATAGCATGATTATTTTTGGTATGGTTATTTTAGCATTTATATAGCATGTAAGCAAATGTTCACATATTATGTCATCAGGAGGACGAGGTTGCTGAAAAAGTGACAAGAGATGACAGAGAGGGGGTCCGTAGATATGATGACATTATCAGTAGAAAAATAATTGGAATTTTTCTGAACTACTAATACAAATAAGTGTAATGCTACCATAATAGTTTCCGCTTCTCTCAAATGTTAATATCCCTTAACTTCTTAATACATCAGAGAACGTGAACAAATACTACTACTAGAAAGGTCAAATATTGTTATCCATGCAACATTCAAAGTCAGTTGTGTCTGCATAATACACATAATGTTCTATGACTTATGGTTATTTATTTTGACTCACTTATGACCGAATTACATTGGTTAAGTTCTTATCCAGATTCACAAATTTTCTCAATACAATTCAATTGTATTGAGAAAATTTGCACCAAAAAAAAATGCTTATACCGTACATATTCATAATACCAAAAAAGTCGCTACACAATTTTCGAATAAAAAATGCTTGATGATTATTCTTCAAAATAGCGTATAACGGAATATCACATAGGAAACGTTCATGCATTTGTGCATTTAATCTACCCGAAACTATAATTTCATTTTTTTTCGTCAGCGTAAATTTGTGCTTTGTCTAAAAAAAACAGAATCGAAAATAGCAAATTTGGTTTACCTTTTTATATATGTCAAACTTACGTTGGTTTTCTTAGCATGTTCTTCCAAAAAAGTCATTACGTTCTTTAAATGTTGAGCACGTTCTGCAATTGTATCTGTTGTACATATTAATGAAATTATTTCCGCTAGTAATATATCAGATATCCTTAATTTCATATGTAATATATCTGTGACAACTTGTTGATAACTGAAAAAAATGAATAAAACATTTAGAATAACAACGAAATCAATAAATCTGTAATGAGTATTTTTTTTAACTAGTATCGAAATATAGAAGTAGTTGAACTTACTGTATTTTTCTATTGAGAAGAGATATCCCAAGCCTGGTTTCGATTTTCCAATTTCCTGATATTGTTGATTCAACGTTCTGGCACCCCTCTTTGGATCAAACGCTGAATATTTTCCAAATTCAGCCATATTTGAGGCTGTACAATAAGGGCATTTATGCTTGTTTTGTCCTAAAAGCAGAGAAAGTTATTTTGGTTACTGAAGTATTATTGTATATCGAAATACCTGTTATACCATACAATCCCATGACTTGCCACATCATTTTCATATCTAAGGACATCTGAATATCTAATTCAGCTTTCATATTCTTCAGACAAACTAATTTTCTC